TGTAAAAAATTGTAGCCTGTAGAGTGAGCACGAGTTGCACAATATAGCTAATAGAGAAAAACGTCAAGTCAGACACGATATTTCGGTGAAAAATTATCCGATCATCACGAAAATCAATAGGGATCATCTTCATAATGACATTGGCACACAAAATAAAAATCAAAAGAATCTGTAAAAAATTGTAGCCTGTAGAGTGAGCACGAGTTGCACAATATAGCTAATAGAGAAAAACGTCAAGTCAGACACGATATTTCGGTGAAAAATTATCCGATCATCACGAAAATCAATAGGGATCATCTTCATAATGACATTGACACACAAAATAAAAATCAAAAGAATCTGTAAAAAATTGTAGCCTGTAGAGTGAGCACGAGTTGCACAATATAGCTAATAGAGAAAAACATCAAGTCAGACACGATATTTCGGTGAAAAATTATCCGATCATCACGAAAATCAATAGGGATCATCTTCATAATGACATTGACACACAAAATAAAAATCAAAAGAATCCATAAAGAACTGTAGCCTGTAGAGTGAGCACGAGCCAAATGTGAACGGACGGACCGACGGGGTGATTACAATATACGCCCATCTTACGTGTGGGCGTATAAAAACCAGAAAATTAATTTTATGGTCACTATATATTAAGTTGAAGAGTTGTTTATCATAGTTGCAATAATTACAGCTTTCGAGTTTGTTTTGATGTTTATTTTGTTTTGTAGGGTTAATATGTCAATATTGCCCTATAGGATGTTAACAGCAAATCTTAAGTATTTGAAAATTAAATTCAAACCATTCATTGTATTTCACAGAATGTAATGAAACAGACGGCATGAGAGATGCACAAATAATACCCGATTCAAGTATCACTTCACCTACATCACCTAATGTTAACGTAACTCAAATAAGAGATGGTGGTGCAGTTTTCCCTATTGGACAGAACGCAGAAATTGTAATAAATCTCACACAAACATGTAAAATTGAAGTTGAAGTAGGAAGTGTAACTGTTCCTGTAGGCAATGTTGCTTTAATTACCGTTATACCAATTGATTCTGATGGTAATGAAACGACTGTTGCTTCAAAAACTGAAGTAAGTTTTAACATGCACCATATATATCATTTATACTTTTCTAATAACAGTATAATTGTATTTTGTTTAAGAGGATTATTACACTTTTTGTAACTGTTTATTTACTAAATCATTTGATTGAATTATTACAGAATGTTCCTGGAAATATAGCTAGTGTTACTTTCCCTGATGATGTTCGAGCTGCTAAGGTTAAAATTATATTAACTCCAACAGATAGTTCTATACCAATTTCCACTACTGGTGCATTAGAAGTTATAGCCTGTTTTGAATGTAAGTAAAATATTTATACTGAAGTTCTGAAAATATAACGTAAACTGCTCAACTTGGATTTTTGTATCTTTGTTTATAGTTCATATTGGCGTCCTTGTCTATCGATCCGTCCGACCGTCCACATTTCTCGTAAACACTCTAGAAGTCACTAGACTAAACTTGGTGAGATTGTTAGTAATCATCCAGGGATGAACCCTATTGAAAATCAAATAAGCCAAAAAGTATTAAGTATGAGTTATTGACCTTGTTCTTGATAACGCGTTGAAATTTTAGCTCGTAAACGCTCTAGAAGGCATTAAACTTGAGAAATGTTGACGAAACTTGGTGTAAGTGTTTGTAATCACCCAACTATGAACATGGATATTTTTTGTCTAATTTCACTTTAAAATCGCGTTAGATTTTATTCTCTTTCCTCCTAGAGTATGATATTGTCCAAGGGAAGAAAACTGCTATTATTAAAATGAGTCTCATTAAATTTTCGGGTAATAAAAATATAATAAAGTTCTTGAGACCTATCTTGTTGTCTTGGTATATAATTTAATAATTTTGGTATTTAATTAAAATTCTTGGTACATGATATGAATTTCTTGGTATTTGTAGGCGGATCTAACGAATTTACGACTCCAGGTATGTTATCTTATAGTTCTTATTTCCACGTCACTTTGCACACTGCCCTAAATTTTACATTAGGGAAGTACAGATCTGTTTAAAAAGTATGTATGTCTTAACGTAGTTTTCCACATTAGAGAATTTTTCTCTCGATTTCAATGACAAAGTGATCATCTAGTGTCAATATTTTTGATCTTTTTATTTTCTGATGTTGGAAATTTCTTGTTCTTGTATTGTAAATAATATTTTCCCATGTGTTGAGGAACAGGTTTTACCTCGAAAGGATTACACAGGATTATTCTTTGTCTACTGTCACTTCTAAAATCGCGTTAGATTTATTTTCCGTCCTTATCAGTGGCTCAGCCAGGCTTACGCCGAGGTGGGCGAAATATCTGAGATTGGAAGAATTCTAACCTGGTCATGGGACTTTGGCCTGAAAAACTTGTTTTCGGGGCTGCTAATCGGGTATGAAATTTTCCAATTGAAGAAAAACTGTCATAATTAAAATTAGTCAGACCTAACTTATAGTCTTGGTACATAATTTTATGATTTTGGTTATTCAGTCCTATCCCGGAGGAATGACGTCTAGTTTAACTGTAACTTGCATCAATGTCAACTACAGGAGTATAAATCACAACTTTATTTGCATCTTAGTCGGTAAAAACTACAAAAGAACAAAATGAAATACACTTAATACAATCTTACAGTGAAAGATACATGAAATAATGTAATGAAATACGAATTTACGTTTGCAAAATAATGATCCTCATTGCGTTCCGTACTTTTAAAAACTTCAAAAAGGGAATGGATAAAAATGAACTTAAATCAATATCTAGCGATCAAATATATAGTTAAACGTATTTAATAGCATGAAAATAAACAGGTAAGTAAAATTATAAACTTACAGCGTGGTAGAGCTATCTATCTACGGGAAAAGAAGGAATTTAGAATGTAAACACGCCGATTTGTAAAGGTGCTTCCGCTAAAATTATGAACTAATGGGAGATAACTGTAGATTACTACGGCGGTCTAATAAGACAATCGCGACAGAACATTGGTATATAATCAAAATTCTTGCAACTTAAATATAAATTTCTTGGTTATTGTAGAAACGACGACGAGGAGGACGACTCCAGGTATGTTATCTTATAATTCTTATTTTAACGTCACTTTGCACACTGCCCTAAATTTAACATTAGGGAAGTACAGATGTGTTTAAAAAGTATGTATGTCTTAACGTAGTTTTGCACATAAGGGAATTTTCTCTCGGTTTCAATGAGAAAGTGATTGCCGAGCGTCAGAATATTTGATTTTCTGATGCTGGAAATTTCTTGTTCTTGTATTGTAAATAATATTTTCCCATGTGTTGAGGAACAGGTTTTACCTCGAAAGGATTACACAAGATTATTCTTTGTCTACTGTCATTTCTAGATCGCGTTAGATTTATTTTCCGTCCTTATCAGTGGCTCAGCCAGGTTTACGTCCGAGGTGGGCGAAATATCTGAGATTGGAAGAATTTCTAACCTGGTCATGGGACTTTGGCCTGAAAAACTTGTTTTCGGGGCTGCTAATCGGGTATGGAACTTTCCAATTGAAGAAAAACTGCCATAATTAAAATTAGTCAGACCTAACTTATAGTCTTGGTACATAATTTTATGATTTTGGTTATTCAGTCGTATCCCGGAGGAATGACGTCTAGTTTAACTGTAACCCAAATTGCATCAATGTCAACTACAGGAGTATAAATCACAACTTTATTTGCATCTTAGTCGGTAAAAACTACAAAAGAACAAAATGAAAATACACTTAATACAATCTTACAGTGAAAGATACATGAAATAATGTAATGAAATACGAATTTACGTTTGCAAAATAATGATCCCCATTGCGTTCCGTACTTTTAAAAACTTCAAAAAGGGAATGGATAAAAATGCAACTTAAATCAATATCTAGCGATCAAATAAAGAGTTAAACGTATTTAATAGCATAAAAATAAACAGGTAAGTAAAATTATAAACTTACAGCGTGGTAGAGTTATCTATCTACGGGAAAAGAAGGAATTTAGAATGTAAACACGCCGATTTGTAAAGGTGCTTCCGCTAAAATTATGAACTAATGGGAGATAACTGTAGATTACTACGGCGGTCTAATAAGACAATCGCGACAGAACATTGGTATATAATCAAAATTCTTGCAACTTAAATATAAATTTCTTGGTTATTGTAGGAAGGCCAACGACGACGAGGAGGACGACTCCAGGTATGTTATCTTATAATTCTTAGTCACTTTGCACACTGCCCTAAATTTAACATTAGGGAAGTACAGATGTGTTTAAAAAGTATGTATGTCTTAACGTAGTTTTGCACATAAGGGAATTTTCTCCCGGTTTCAATGAGAAAGTGATTGCCGAGCGTCAGAATATTTGATCTTCTGATTTTCTGATGCTGGAAATTTCTTGTTCTTGTATTGTAAATAATATTTTCCCATGTGTTGAGGAACAGGTTTTACCTCGAAAGACTTGCACAGGTTGTTTTATGTCTACTTTCACTTCCAAAATGTAAGATTTATTCTCCGTCCTCCTAGAGTATTGTATCTATTTTTATAGTTTATATTGGCGTCCTTGTCTGTCCGTCCGTCCGTCCATATTTCTCGTAAACACTCTAGAAGGCACTAGACTAAACTTGGTGAGATTGTTAGTAATCATCCAGGGATGAACCCTATTGAAAATCAAATAAGCCAAAAAGTATTTAGTATGAGTTATTGACCTTGTTCTTGATAACGCGTTGAAATTTTAGCTCATAAACAATCTAAAAGGCAGAAAACTTGAGAAATGTTGACGAAACTAGGTTTAATTGTTTGTAATCACCCAACTATGAACTTTATTAAAAACAATACTAATAATAATATCTTTATTTGGGTGAAAATTAGGCCTGTTTTTTTTTACAATTTTAACCTTCAAAGGAACACAATCTATAATATAAAATAAACTAAAAACAACGAAACTACAGTCACAAAAGCTGTAAAACTATTAACAGTTATATATATATATACATTTATCATTCATCTGATTAAAAGATAGCTTGCCAGGCAAGGTAACATACGCCCACTGGCAGCTGTCAGAAATGATTAAACAGTCTTTAGTGACTACAGGGTTGCACAATATAGCTAATAGAGTGAAACGTCAAGTCAGACAAGATATTTCGGTGAAAAATTATCCGATCATCATGAAAATCGATAGGGATCATGTTCATTATAACATTGACATACAAAATAAAAAGAATCTGTAAACAATTGTAGCCTGTAGAGTGAGCACGAGTTGCACAATGTAGCTAATAGAGTAAAACGTCAGGTCAGACACGATATTTCGGTGAAAAATTATCCGATCATCATGAAAATCGATAGATCATCATGAAAATCAATAGGGATCATCTTCATAACGACATAGACATACAAAATAAAAATCAAAAGAATCTGTAAAGAATTGTAGCCTGTAGAGTGAGCACGAGTTGCACAATATAGCTAACAGAGTAAAACGTCAAGTCAGACACGATATTTCGGTGAAAAATTATCCGATCATCACGAAAATCATTAGGGATCATCTTTATAATGACATTGACACACAAAATAAAAATCAAAAGAATCTGTAAAAAATTGTAGCCTGTAGAGTGAGCACGAGTTGCACAATATAGCTAATAGAGAAAAACGTCAAGTCAGACACGATATTTCGGTGAAAAATTATCCGATCATCACGAAAATCAATAGGGATCATCTTCATAATGACATTGGCACACAAAATAAAAATCAAAAGAATCTGAAAAAAAT